ATTCTTAAAATCTATTTGCCTGCGGGCGCCTATGCCCCCTTCGATTTATTTTTCTATAATTTAACTCTAGTTCAATTTTTTATTCATATTTTTTTAAAATATTCATTTTCTCATGATATAATTATTGTAAATAATGCTATGAGTTTATGAATACTAATATTGTAGACTGCAGTATTTAGTTTTTGTTTTTAATGCACATTTTTAATTTATTTTTTTTTTCGATTCTTAAAATCTATTTGCCGGCGGTTGCCCATGCCTCCCTTCCCATTTTTATTTTTAAAATTAGTTAATATATGATTTTTACTATAATTATTTTTTTTTTTTTGATTCTCAAAATCCATTTAACTTCGGGCGCCCATGCCCCCCTTCGAATTTTTTTTCTGTAATTTATCTCCAGTTCAATTTTTTATTCACATTTTTAAATGTTGTTAACCAGCTTTTTCCCTTAAATATTCATTTTCTCATTATATAATTATTGTAAATAACGCTATGAGTTTATGAATACTGATATTGTAGACTACAGTATTTAGTGTTTGTTTTTAATGCATATTAGAGTGAAACTTTTTACTAACTCACTATGAAACTTAATGGTTATTCCGCGTGGGATGGTGGTATGACACTAAGTGCCGAAGTCTTTACTTCAAGTAATACAGCTTATTGAAGGGTATTAGGGCAAACATACCTTTTATAGAAATTGTACAGGAGAATTTTATCTAAAAACGTAAGTAGCCCGATTTTTTATATCGTATTCAAATCGTCCAATATCGCATGATATATGAACAAGTTTTTTCAAACTTTTTATCGACTAATTATTTAACTAGTTAATAAAAGTATCAAAAATCGGGCTTCTTACGTTTCTGGATAAAATTCTCCTCTATAATTTTTATAATAGGTATTTGTACTGTAAACCGCTTCAATAAGCCGTATTATTTGTAGCATGATTGCATGAATCCATGTTTTTATGCCACATTTTGTTCCTAGTGCGCCCTCTTAACTTTTATAATTATAACATTATCTGATAACAATTTTAACACATCTAAAAATACAAAATTATTTTATATTAAATATAGGTCCATTTTCGCCTTTACATTGTTATAATACTAGAATAAAAAACAACTAATATAATTGTACCACGTAATCATACTAATTTTGGAACACTGAGTCCAATTATTAAATGAATTCTGTTACTTCGTAAATATAAGATAAATGTATCTAATTTACCTAATTTAGATCATTTTAATAAGTATAAGAAACATATATTAACACTATTTTATCCTAGTCGTAAATGTCCACTTTTTAAGATAATTTAAGTACTCAAACTTTTCTTGTATACTTTTATAATACCTACTCAGAACATGAACCCATTTCATCCGTTTACAAGCATATCTATGCTTATTTGGGTGAGCTTGCAAACCAGGTTTAATGTTTTGTTTATAGCTATTATTTTGCCTATTTTGTTTACTAAATAAATATTATTATTATTATTATTATTATTATTATAAGTTAAAACTAAACTTTATAAATTAATAATATTTATATTTACCATCCATGTACTCTACGTCTGTACACCATGTAATAATGTGCTTTGCTTTAAAAATAATAATTGCATACCTCATCTTTATCTATTTCAATTCAGGTATTCAGTCACACTTATAACAATAAAAAAAAAAAAAATGTTCAATTCAATTATGACAAATTTTAGATCATTTTTAAATTTAAAACATTTCTTTTTTCGTGTGACGAATTATTTCTACTCGAGAAATGAACAAATTATATGTCTTTTTTATGAACAAATAATACAATATATTCTTAAATATGAAATATAGTCTGAATTTTCTTTAATCCCAAAAATATTATGCAATATTAAAAAATTTAATTTTTTGCTACGCATTCTGTGCATGAATAAGGTTTCCGGATAATCCCCTGTTGAGCTGCATATAGCCAAAAAATATACGTAAAAACCTAAAAATCAGCTCTCAAAGATAGATAGGTTGTATACCCACCTATATTCTACATGAGAAGTAGAAAGTCAAAACCAGACTCAATACTGTTAAAAATATAGATGAATAATATTTTATACTAAGCCTATAAACAAAATTCTTAAAGTAAAATATATACAGTATAAATATTACTTCGTTAGCTTTTAGTTTAATTTTGATACACATTTTAGAAAATATACTCCAACTAGATTAATCTCAGACATCATTGTGTCAACTAATTTTAGTTTCCAGTTTGGTCTGACCACATCTCTCAATAAATTTGTTTTTGCAGTTTACTTTTACTCCAAACGATAGGCTGTTGCCAACAATTCGCTTTACTGTAAATCTTTTATGAGATGGAGTATAAGTTGACACAGTAAAATGTCATTGTATGGGAATGCATGTAAATGTAATAGCAGCATTGTATGAACTTACTTATTAAAAATGTTTTCAATAAGAAAATATTTTTTTCGTTTTTCAGGTGGTTATGTCATATTTTGAAGTCAGTGGGTCTGGAATCTGGAATCTGTATGACTAAAATTATTATAATGCAATCAAAACAATCAAGAATTTTTTGTTTTTTTTTCTAATGAAAAGAATATATTTATATTTTAAATTCTATACAGTACAATATGTACATACAATATTAAACAATATACATTACAATAATATTAGGAAATAGTTATTGTTGTTTTGGTCCTCTTTTTGGACCTTTTTTACCTCCAGTGAGTTGTTTATCTTTAGTTTTATTACTCAACAATGGATGCACTTCTGAAATCATAAAAATTGAATACAATATAATATATTAGTTTATCAGTTTGGTTATGAATTTTCAATGATTTCAAATTACCTAGTAATAAAGAATATATTAATAGTATAAGATATGTAATCATGATATGATTTTATAATGCCATTAAAAAAAATTATTTTACTATTAATATTACAGTAAGTTGGTTTAATTTTGGCAGCATTTGATTTATTTTATTATATTATTGTTATTAATTTTTAAGTCAATACCACCTTGCCTTAGAATAGTATGAATAAATTCATGGTATAAATATATAATAGATTAAAATGAATCTAAATATATTGAAACCCTGTATTAAATCTTCAATTCTTAGTGATTTTGATGAATTTTGTCAACACTTTAAATTTCAATGCTTTAAACAAAATTGTAATTATTATAATAATTTATGAGAAACCTTAAATCAAATTTCCAATACATTTTTATAGAAAAGACTTAAATAAATTGAATGTTAAAATATGAAAAAATCATGTATCTACGGTTATTTTTTTTTTGATTTTCCTAACGTTTTTGAAAAAATTAGACATTTTTTATTTCAAAAATGCACCAACAAGATTCACTTTCTTGTCCGAAAAGATACTGAGAAGTTGAAATCGAAGAGTCATGTTGACTTTGTATAAGTTATAATACTAAACACAAAAAAATAATAATAACAATAATAAATTCAACACACGACATTGTAAAATCAATAAATTCATCGCTTCACTCAGAATCTAATAATATAATTGATACTTGAGTTGTGCAGGTCATTGAGGTCCTTATGTTTGATAAATCATTGAATTTAAAAAAAACATTTCTAAATTGAACTTATAAGGCTTGTCCTTCCAAATTTATGATCATATTAAGTTAAAATCGCACTTGTTTACATATCTTGAAAATTAATCAAAAATGTCTTATTACTACAATAATTAGAAGTACTGTTTTAAACATTATTTTAAGAGGTGAAAAAATACTTTTAGAATGCTTATAATATCTCTCTCAAAAAAACAAACAATTTAAAAGCAAAACTAACCGTCAGTAACGTTATCTAAATGAATATCAATTGTACGACATTTAGATGAAGTAGACGTTGAAACAGGAGGCGGTGGCATATCTGGTTCAGGGTCTTCAATTTCTGGAGCAATCGGTAAAAACATAAGAGCTTCCTTGTGGTCTTCGATGGCTCCTTCTTCATCTGAACTACAAAATGCTGCTACAGGTTCGGCACTTTCCACATCAACCTAAAAATTATTTGCAATATAATATTATGATGTAAAATGGTAGATTAGGTTACTTTTTTTTAAAGTTACTTTGTATTTAATTAAATCAAAAATAGTAATATACAAAACTGTTTAATGTACAATATAATATTGTATTTATTGAATATTCTTACCTCAAAATCTTCATCACATCGTTGTATATCTTTTGTAATTGATTTGTCTTCATCTTCCAAGTCAAATTCAGACTCTCTCTCATCGTACTCAACATTTTCATCAAGCTCTTTAAAGTCAGGTGCAAAAGCTGACCAATTTTCTACTTGATTTTGTGCCCACACAGACACAAAACCACTGGATATACTGGTTATTATCGCTCGAACTGGATGCCACTAACAATTCATTTTAGATAAAATTATCCTTTCATGATTTTCATTATAATAATTTTAGAACTTACAACAACATCCAAAAGGAGTTCTCCTTTGGTTCCATGTAATATTTTCACTAAATTTCCAATACTTTTTTCCCAAATGTACAATGCGTGTTGCCTGGCTGAACCTGCACAAACATATTCACCATCACCAGAAAAACAACATTTCTTCCACATTGTTCTAGAAATCAGTATTTTAGTAAAGTGAACAATTAATATGATATTTTATTAGTTTTAAGTATAAAAAGAGGATTAGTTGCTCGATTTCTATGGTGTAAGAAATAGGCAAATTATGTGGTAGGTACATCCGGGTCATGTTTAAAAAGTAAATGCAAAAAATAAAAGTCTGCAAAAGTAAATTTACATTAGCATGTGTATGCTACACACCGCAGCGTATCCCAAAGCATTCTTGCACTAGCAAGGCACATGTCAATATATTAAATTAGGAAAAAGTATTTGATTACTTTACGAGTAGAAACATACCTCGGCTGTAACAAAGTTGTAAGACTTAGGCTGGTGTGATTTTAATTTTGTAAAAATCTTAAAATTTATTAATATCTCCTCTCAAGAAAGATCGAGGAATTTTTTAGACACACGCATTTCTTCAATGCATATGATTATGCATATATTATTAACAAAAATGTTGTAAAAACCGAGATTTTTATATTATTATAATATTGTAAAAAAGTTTAAACTTAAAAAAAAATACACCAATAGTTTTCTAGAGCTATTACAAAATGTTATTATTTTACATCATTAATATCGAACAATCCAAAGTCTCACAATATTGTCACAGTGGAGGGTCTGAAAACAATTTTTTTTGACTGACTAGAACCAACTTAAAAATAATGAAAATATGTGAATAAAAATCACAAAAAAAAATTATTTAAATATTTTAAATTATGAAGTATAGCATTAATAATATTAAACATACTTGTTAACTAAATCTTGGAGCTTTTGAATGGGTTCTGGTTCTCCCTCTTTTCCCTTATCCAAAACATGTTTAGCATCATATACTCTAATGACACGATCTGAACAATTGAGTAAAAAGCAATCTCCTCTTCGTGCAAATTCAATACTTTTTATACCAGTCATTCCAGTTGACACTTTGAAGGAGACTTTAACTTCAAGATCAGGACAAGTCAAAACTAATATTTTACCACGAGCATTTCCTGTATAAATATACTCTCCACGGCGATCAAACGAAGCAACTATCATCAGATCAGACTGTAATTTAATAAAATGTAATTTATATATAATTTTATTTATTCTAAAATATGAATAATATGTTTAAATTGCAGCTTGAACTCACATCTTCACCCATTGGAACTAATTTATGGTTGCCTTCAGTATCAACGAGCACAGCTGCGTGTTTCATTGGACAAACAAGGAATAAATTTTTCATTCTAGGATGGTATTGGACTTTTAACACGGGTGATGGAAATTTATACATTTCTTCTCTCTCCCCACTTAATATGTTCCAAGTGCAAACATTATTATCAGTGGATGCACTTAATAACTTATGTCCATTTCTCGACCAACTAAAAATTATAATTTTAAACATTATATAGGTTTGTAAATTATTTTGGTTTAAAATAATAATTTCACTTTTAAGATTTAACACGTTGACTGTGTACTGACGCCAATTGGCGTCATGAGTATCAATCAGCAACGAGTTTGACGCCAAATGACGTCCACAATATATTAAAAATAAATGGTTTATTACTCGTTAAGCATGGCTAAATATGGTTTTTTATTATTTTGCGTGATTAAACGCATGTTTTAAAATATTTATTCGTACGCCGTTTGGATGTATGACCATATAGGATCAGTTCCTTTGGTACCTAAAAATATGTACCTTAACGTACGCACTGGGTGGGAAATGCAAAAATACATACACAGTCAACGTGTTAAAAAAAATGAACAGTTAATGTACCTTAAGGAACAGACAGGATGCATGTGAGCTGTGATAATTTTTGCAATTCCTCTAGTTAAGAAATCCCAAATTACTATACGGCCATCATTACATCCAACTGCCAAGAGTGTGCCATATTTGTTAAACACACATGTCACAGCTAATGAAATACTATCAAGAACTCCATCAAATTCCTTTAAAAATGAAAAGTAAACACAATAAGAAGTAATCTACATTAATTTAGATCATCAATCACTTCAAAAATGTAATCTCAGTTAACAAATTTAAAGCTACTTAAATATTATACATACTATATAATTATTAATCAATCATTTGTATTCATTAAAATTAAAATATAAGAGATATTTTTTGGGTATAAAAAATATTAAATATGAGTAGATGCTGTTAGTTAATATTATTTAAAATATAAAATTTAGATAAATATTACCTCCGGATAATTTTGTCCAAAAGATTCTATAAAATAAAAAATTATTATTTGTTATAGCTTATGATAAAACTGATTTAATTCATAAATTGTAGGCACCTGTTTTTACTTACCAAGCAATTCTAAATTCATATTGAAGGTTGATGACAAATCTAATTCTAGGAACAGAAACAGTAACTACTGCTGCTTTACCTATATAAAAAGAAAAAATAAGAGTTACATGTTTAGCATGGTACACATATTAATATTATAGACAAATTAATCCCTACATTATCAACAGTAAAATACATACATGATTTGTAGATTTTTGATAAACTGAATAATAAACAAGAGGTAAGTAGATGATATAACAAACAGGTTTATTATTGTATACTTGGGATTTAATAATTGATCTTTAGAATTAATAATAAAAATTCTTCTATGATATCTAATTCGAAATAATAATTGAAACTATTTTCGATTTAATTCACTCATAATCCACGTTTAATTAATGTAAAACAAAGGGCATGGCTAAGCTAACATTTTAAAACTTTTCAACAGTCCAGAAACACAAACAAAATATTTGAACATTTTAGTGTTTTGAACACCTACATGAAGATATATTATTCTATACTGTGGTATAATATTATTAAACTTACTAGATATATTTACTGATCACGACGTCGAAATAGCCCCAATTGCTGCTATGATTCTAGTGAAAGCGATGGCATTTAAATAAAAAGTACGACACCAAATAACTATGAATTAATATTTAGTGGTTTATACGTTTTATTGATATAACTACTTTATTTTACACATTCAAGAGTCAGGATGGACTTCCGAATTTTAATTTTAAATAATATTATTTCATAATACTATAACATTATGAGTTGATAAAACCAAAACCAGACGCTTACAATCACTGAAATAGTGAATAGCGGCAAAATTATCGGTAAACACAACCAGTATTTATGTTCATAAGTACAACCACGGGTACCACACGTTTACCAACTATCACCATTGATTGTACAAAATAAAAATGAGTCTATCACAGATATAAAAATTCTAGATGGCCGATTATATAGAAAAGACGATTATAAAGAACTTTAGAACTTTCTTTATAATCGTGCTTGCAAATAATTTTGAAGTATATAAAATGGCCGAAATTCTCTTATCAAAGAGGACGGTGAATGCTTACTTCATAATATTGATAAAAATATTATTGTTATCACTCATCATATTAAAAAAAAATATATTATTATTATTTTTGTAACTTAACTTACTTAAGTATTAAATATATATATTGTACCTAACATTGTAAAAATACCTGGTGTTTGACACAATTAAATTAATAAATACAAATTTATTAAATGTAAAATACCTATTATTAACTTTAAACGTATTCAACAGTTATGTAAATTAGATAATAGGTTGCTTCCTACCACGATTAAAGATATGCAATATAAGGTAGATATATCTTTAATCGTGCTTCCTACTTAATCAAGTACCCATTTATCATGTGAATATTACATTTATAAAAATGAGCTTGAATAAATAAATAATAATATGAATTGAAATTCGACAAATTCAATTTACAATTATTCTTGTCTGTTCATATCACACTCCGATCACAGCACAGGCATAGCATGGCTAAATAACTAAAAAAATTAAAGTTATTTAGCCATGAGCACAGTTATATATACTAATACCTAATATACCATAACCGCAAATAGACCAATTCTTTTTTTTTTTGTGGGGCTTTAAAATTGTATTCATATTTTTGGAGGGACCCATATCACAGAATAGATGAATAATATTCTGTCTTGGAATCCGAAATAAAAAATGTACCGAGACATCCAAGGAAGTACAAAACTCAAAAACTGATGACGATTTCATATTATATTATTATACCTATCATCTATGGAAAAAGCCAACCGTCATTCGTCGTCTCTCATCGGAGACGATTCGAAATTCTAATAATTTCAATGAACAAAAAAGAAATGTGTAAGGCAACAATAAACCGACAAGTCGTTAAGCATAACATTCAGTCGTTATATACATCATTTACTCACATATTTTATTCTATAGTCAAGTAATTTTTATAATAAATTTCGATCCTTTCAGTTTGGAGTGAGACGAAGAAAGTTGTTTCTTGATATGGTGCCTACACTCTAGAAATGGCACAACTTTATTTAATCCGAAGATTCGATGTCTACGAAAGTTTGATCACCTATTGCTTTCGGGGCTTACATATTTTACTTTTTAGTCTTAAAATTAAAATGTATTGCCACGGACAATTTGCTACCCGGATGACGTAGGTGCATACTTTTGATTTCCAAGAGCGCGACGCAAAAAGTACGTTAGGACAAACGACGACGGCATATCCAGACATAATAACATGTTTATACAATTTAATAGGTAAAAATAGTATTGTTTATACTAGTCATACTACTGTAGTAAAACAGTACACGAGAGTTCTATGTCCCGCAATATTCAACAATTTATTTTTATTTTTAGTATATTATATACATTTTTAGTTACGTTATAAAAATATTTAAATTCAACCCCTCCACCCCAAAAAGCTGAAAGTCCAGCGAAAAGTTGTAAGGGGTTGGGTGACTTGAACGAATTGGATAACAAATGAATAATAAAATGTATGAATATTACTTTGACGTCTACTTGTGAATCAACATTGAATTAAATCGACGCCATAATTTATCAAACATTAAATTATTTTCTAAAGCTGGGAGAGTCGCTAATATAGTATAATAATGCCTAATAAGTAATATTATACTATTATAACTATTATAGTATTATACAGTATATTGAATTAACGTTTGCCAAAAACATGGTAGGTACCTATATATTATACTATTAAAAATTATAATTTATTTTTTTCATAATATATTATTGTTATTCAGTATTCAGTATTCATTATTATAACTCAGTTCTAACGATTGACTTATCGTATATCTAGCTGTTCCTTTCCCCTCAATATCAACAGTATCTATATCAGAGGTGTCCAACCTTTTGTGAAGACATCATATAGGTATAAGTTATTGTGGGCCACATACTTTTTTTTAACAATAACACATTCAAATTTAATAATTTAATTATATTCTATAATACAGCAATACATTTTTTTTATAATTTTACAATAGCGAATAATAAGCAGAAATATTTATAAAGTATTAATATTTAATTATAAGTACACAGGACAATATATTTATTTAGAATAAAAAAAAAGTTTTAGTTTAAAAAAGTTAAAAGTCATTGGTTTTATTTAATGTGAAATTTGGAATTGCTTTTTGTGTGAAAGTAATGAATCAATATCTGGATCGATTGAAGTTATGGCAATCCTTAAGCAACGGTAAAAGCACGGACGTGTGTATCGGCCATTACAGTTTATTTGATGTTTTATATTCTTAAAATATATTCGTTTTCGTAATATTAATAATTAATATATTATATACATTATACAATTAATTCATGGTATTTAAATTGAAGTGAGGGCCGCATCAAAATCTACCAAAGGCCGCGGGTTGGACACCACTGATCTATATAAATATATATTATATATAGACATTGAACAGAGGTATTGTGTCTAGTTTTAACATTGGGTGTGGCCGGTGTCGTTGTTTTCGTGGTTTTAATACTGCAATGAGTTAATAAATAATAATTAGGTTGTGTATTTATTTTTTAGGAAGAATATACGGTCCTGGAGGATATACTTAACAAATTTCCACAGTCTGTGCATAGGCGGCTATAATGTTAATATCAAGTGATGAGGTCGCGTTCCTAGAGGGGAGTGAAAGAGGAGGAAAACTAAGGCAAATTATCTTCTTAAACTATCTTTAACTATCTCTCTAACAAACTAAAATCTTTATTATCTACTAGCCTGTCGTTTGTGAAAATATTATAATATAGTCCGCCAATTTGAATTCCGGAATCCTATAGTCTGTGAAAGTACTTTACGGGTTTATACATTAGTCCACCTCGACGTGAATAACATAATAAGTAAACTTGATAAAATGTTTTATTTTATCAATTCGTGTCGATATTGTATAAAACAATTAAGCTTCAGGGTAGCTTATAGCCCACCTAATTTCACATTTACACCACTATTATGGCTTCAGCACACGCAGTGTTTTCATTGATGTAATATTATGCCCCTATATTACACCGGTACTTTTATTAAATCTAAAAGTTGAATGCCTCAAAATGTTCTCAATGGTTCTATTGAATTTGAGAAAACTACCGAAAGGAAATTCTGTGTATAATAGAAGCCGGAGGACGACTTTAAAACTATTAGCCATATTGGGTATTGTTTAATTTGTGTAACTTATTGTAATAAATTATGTTTAAAAAAAATTGAGTCGTACATTAAAAAAAAAAAAAATGTTTAAAAAATATAAATGATAAATACAAAATATGTTTTAGCTGACTTAAAAACATACTATACATAAATGTTCAATGAAAATGTCAAACCCAGTTCAAAAATCAAAAGCACTCAATTATCAATATACACCAACACAAATTACAAATTTTACAATGCAATTTCGATGTTGTTTTAGAGTACCTAATTGAACTTATGTGATTCTGTTTTATGTAATATTTTATACTCCTATAATCTACAATCTACATGTATTGACAATATTGTTGACTGTTGTGCGTCAATAATTCATAATCTTTTGAGTTTTTGACCATATTGGGTGCGATGCCAGTCATCTCCGAGGAAGACGCTTGAAGTCTTGTACTGCATAGAATGTTGCAGATAAATTATAAATTACTATTTGATAAATGGTTGTACAGTGACTTCATTTTTCGTTTTTTTTATCATATTTTAGTATTTTACAACTCTCTAGCACATATCACGTGGCACACTGACACGTAATATAGTAATATATATTCGCGAGTTGTAGGACTTCACCCCGCGCGTCATGTTAATTTTCCAATTATTATGCACATCATATATACTGCGATACCAAAACGTTATTCAAAGTCAGTTAAATTTTTTTTTAATTACATTGAACATCTATAAGAAATAATAATTTAAATAACAAGCAGTACAATGTTTCAAGTTTCTACGATTAATACTTTTTGAATGACAACCAATAAACTAAAATTGTTCTATAAGAAATCTTGTTTCAACTCTTGAATGTGGAATTTCGTCAAAATTGAAATTTCAGGAACTCATCATATTGCATGAAATATGGACCATATTATGATATGAATGAAATAAAATCAAACACATCTGCGAAAAATTATATTGGAGAACACGCTTCAAATATACATAAAATAATGAAGTTATAATTAATTAATACCTCCTAATCTTTAAAAATTACAAATACTTACCCGAAATAGTCATATAATTTCGAAATAAAAAAAATAAATCGCGTATTATGATATACGAGTGCTATAATGGATGTACCTGTGTGCCTATTAATAATAAATTTTCATAAATTATATTATGTATAATGAATAATTATATAAACAAAACATTTTGGAAATTAATAAAATTGAGGTATTATCAAATTATTGATGCATTTTGGACCAAGCACCAAGTATACATTGAATATCTTGTGTTATTTATTATAGACTATAGTTACATAATCTTAGGCTCTTAGCAGCCCATGAGCCACCACGAATTTCATCTCTATAGAGTATAAACTAACTATAAGAAGAAGACGTATATAGTAGTGCCAAAGTGTGTACAGCGTGTACACTGTTATTATATTATTATATTTGACGCAATGATGTGTTATGTGTTGAGTTGTAATATTTTGTCGGTCTCTCATACAGATAACACTATACTATATGGATAACACCTATAGAATTATCAACAAACGTTTTTATCTTATGTATTTAAGTAGGTATTTAACAGTATACTTACGAACGAACGTGATACCATATTAGTTTACCATTAATAATTTTTGCACACTGCAGATAGGCCATAACTATTTTGGGCAAACATTTTATTAATAAATATCATATAATAACCTCGCCTTACATGAATTACGTATTATCGCGCGTGAGCTGCAATATATAACTACTGTAAACGCATTTTAGATTAAATTATAGGTACCTAAGGTACTTAGTTTTCTTATCT